TAAGCACCATCATGAGACTAAAGAACCTTGTGACATCCATCAGATAGTCATGCAGAATGAGCTGGAGAAATATGTAGTGCCTTGCAAAAGTATTCACACCCCATAATTTTCAAGACTATTTGGGAGGACCAAATAACTCACCAAGCAAACTGTAAAGCTACTGTTAATGATGTGGAAGTGCTCTAACATAAGGGGTAGACTTCCTCTTTCCTTAGTTGTATTGCATTGCTGGCTGTGGTAGAAAAATCAAACTAATAATCAATGTTGGCATGTCTTTTTCATGAAGAATAAATCCCTGTCCAGGGTTCAGGACAACTTTTCAAAGTAACTATAAATACTTCTCAGATAATTGGGACTGAGACATTAGCAATTAAATACACAGAAAATATGAATGAAATCTTAGAATTTCTTATCTAAAAGTCTTGAGAAAGTAGTTGCCACAGAGTGTAATCACTAACACAATAATGAACTTTATGATGAGTTTAAATCTGATTTTAGAGCTCATCATAGCACTGAAACAGCATTGGTGAAAGTCACTAATGATATTCTCATGGCCTCAGATAATGGACTTGTATGTGTACTTGTCCTGTTAGATCTCAGTGCTGCCTTTGATACAGTTGATCATAGTATTCTTTTAGTGAGACTTGTACTCCTACAATACTTTGTAGGAGTAAAAGGAACAGCCCTAGGCTGGCTTAAATCTTAAATATCTGAGAGATTTTAGTTTGTTCATGTAAAAGAAGGAAGTCTTCTTAATGCTCTAGGGTTACAGTGGAGAGTTTTCCTCTCCACTGTCGCTACAAGCATGCTTGGTGTGAAGGACTGCTGAAGAGTGAATGAGTTGATACATTCAGCTGGTTTTCGTCAGATAGAAGACTCTAAACCAATCGGACTGTATGATCTGGTTGAATTGTCTCTGTAGTGCCTTGTGCTCACATGTGTGAATTGGCACTATATAAATAAACTGAATTGAATTGAATTAGTTTCTTCTGTCAGCATTTGGAAGACACTAAGACTAAGATATACAGTATCAGTGGATATACCAAAAAACATACAAAAGCATCATGAGGTAGGAGCCAGGAAGTAAATAACATGTGCGAAATAAACTGTATGAAATAAAACATGTCGTCCTCCTCTTCCGGGGAAAAATTATGAATTTCAGTTTCTGTAAGTAGAAATTCAATGTTTCCCAGATCCTCTGAAACTTGTTCAAATTTTGATTAAGCTCATGAGTTGACTTCTCAAAAGGAATAAATGTAGAAATCTGTGAATCAACATGTTGACTGTAGGAACATCAGCAAAATAAATTTTCTCAGCGAAAAATAAAAGAATGATTAACAGAGACGGTTTCTGCGTAAAAAAAGACCATAACTAAGAAACAGAAAGGATGAGCAGATATTTTTCACTAGTGTCCTCCTGGATTACAGAATGCACCCTCTTACAGAAGGGTTTAATAAGTTTGCCTGGCCAAAACAAATGAATAAAGACCCCTTTATTTATTTTGTAACAAAGGTTAGAGGTGCCAGATCACATTTTTTGGAGGTGAACAGGCGTGTAATAAGCTCTGAAAAAGAATTCAAAGTTTTGTCCATGTTTATCAAATCAAATCCAACTGTATTTCTAAAGTGCTTTTCACACAACGGGGAACACAAAGTGTTTTACATAGTATTAAAATACATTTATGTCATGATAAAATCAAGCCTTAACACAGCAAACAACATAACACAGCACACATACCTACAAACACTCACTAGTACACTTAACCCACCCCTTTCTATACATGACATCAGGCCCCTAACTGCTGTCTCTTACCTACAAACCTAAAAATTAATAACCATCTGGCTTCATGCTGCTGTGAGGAAGCAATATCCTAGGGATCTGTTCACACCAGGAGCCTACTCTTAAATAAAATACAATATAATCAAAAAGTGAGGCTAAAAAAGTACTCTAGAGCCTCTTTTTAATAACACCAAGAGTCTGTGCAGGCCTCATGCTCTCTGGTAGGCTGTTCTATAAACGAGGACTAAAGTAATGGAAGGAGGCCTCACTGCAAGCTTAGTTCTTGGAGGTTTAGAGAATGAAGCACATTTAGGGAAAACCCCGCTGCAGACTTTGTTCCGATCCACAGGATTAAACGTCAGCTACAGATTGAAAAGGTCACAGCTTAAAGAATTAGAATAAAGTACTAGTGAAGCATAAATATTTGAAATTTACCTTTTGGGAGACTTAGCCAAAATTATTGTGTTTTCTAGATCAGACAATCCTGAGTGGAGATATAAGAGATTTCTGACCTTTTTTATTGAAGAAGTCTAGCTTTATCGCCCTGCATTGATATCTTGTGCTCTCTTTGAGCCTCAATGGCTCCCCGGCCCCACAAATGTCAAATAAGCTGACTGTATAACTTGCAGTGACAGGTTATGAAAAAAAAGACAAACACCTGAAAAGTTACAAGTCAACAAACTCAAATGATTCAAGCCAAAATTAGCAAACTGTAGTTGTAAGAGCATCCTCCCGATATAAATCAACCATCCAATTAAATGACAAAAAAATCACAGAGATGCAGATCAACTTTGTCTCCATCTTTTTTTTTCTGCCTATCTTCTAATGTGTCAGGTGGCCATATCAATCAGAAAAACTCACACAAAGAGAAAAGACAATTAGGAGAAATTACTTTGTTACTTTGTCTTTGGTGCTCAGACCTCGTCAGGAAACATAGCGATTAATTTTGATAGATATGCATGAACAGAAGCAAAGAATAGGGCTGAAACTGGTGGTGGAGTGGAGATACTGTAGATGAGGTTGGTCAGTCTGTAGACTGCTGGTTAGCGAGACGGTATGCTGAGCTTTATGGGGAGATCCAGCGGACTGCATGAGGTGATACTAGAGCTTCACTCAGGGACCTGGAAGATGGAAGTCCAGTTTGGATAACACAGGTTGAGAGAACCTGTCCATGATGAGCAAGCATGAAGCGACTGTGGAGAGGAAAAACTCCCTGTTGGGAAGAAACCTCTGGCAGAACCAGGCTCAACATGGCGATCTTCTGCCGGACCGGTTAAGATGAGATAGGGAACGCAGCAAGAGTCCGGGAGGAATGACACTCTGATGAAGCTTTAGCTACGATGGTGAAGGAGGGGCTGGAGGTGGGTTGAAACGGTGCTATCTGAATGAAGTCACACAGCGCATCCGCCGCCTACGCACAGGAGCAGACAAGTGCGTATCGGAGGCCTTTTAAGATGAACTTTTGATGCCGATTGGCTTTCGTGGAGGTGTGGTTCAAAGCTGATTGGCTGTGTCGCAGGTGGATGTAGGAAAGGAATGAGTTTCTTCAGTTGAACTTCCGCCTAGGCTCCATATTAGATTTTGAATTTGGAGCTGGGGTGAAATCTTTATTAATCTTTATTTCCAAATTGTTAAAAATTGTGACTTTTAAGTAAAGTAGGACAAATCAAACTTCACAAAAAATGTGTTCAAAGCATTGCCATATGTTGGAATGGACCAGTCCAACTCCAAACCTTAATCTAACTTAAAACAGGACCTTTCCAGGTTCTCTTAACACGTGGTTTAAGCTTATTTATTTTCTTTAAGAGAAATTAGCAAACATTCGTTTGGCAACAACAGTGGAAACTGTGGTTTTAAGGTGACAAAATGGGAAAAGTTTCCAGAGATGAATAAAGACTTTTAGGTAAACTGTCGTTTAAACAGCTCATTTTAGTTTTTTGTCTTATATTTGCCAAACTCAATTGTTTTGTTTGTTTCAACACTTTTTTAATATTGTTGCTAGCTGAACAGTCAAGATCTTAAAATTAAGTGAAAAGAAGAATGAATGATTAAAAGAAAGAAATGGTATTTGATCTTGATGAAAACCATAAATGATAACCTGGACAAAATTAGTTTACATTACATGGAGAATATGTGTTTGTGTGTTTTGAGTTTACAAAACCCTAGTGCAAGATCAAAATAGCAGAAAACTCTGAATGCTTGATATAATTAAGGCTGGATTTCTTTTTGTGGGGCGAGTAAAATTATATCAGCTTAAAATTTTCTCAAGGGGTTAAGATGGGACAGGATTTCATGTAAATCTTAATGGTTCATGTAACTCTCTCCAGCTTTCATTGAGTGGGTGTCTGAACCAAAATAGAGAAACATGGCTATGTGCATTCAATACTTTCCAGCGGGGTGTTGTTTTGCATGATGATTTCATATAAAACAGGTGGGTGTGAACTCCCGTTAACACATGTAGTGCCTATTTTCTGTTTATTTTAATATATTAATATTGTTAGTTTAAGACTGGAAGTTTTATAAATCTCCTATCATTTAACTGGAATCAGACTGAAGACAGCAGAAAACCCCCAGCTCTGATATTCAAAGTAAAAACATTTTGTCATCACATGTGACTATAATCTCAGACTGGCAAACTGCTGAGTAACTGTGCTTCATGCTTTCATAGAATCCCCAAATGAGTAACCAATGTTGCTTATTTTGCTGAGGTTTAACCTGTCCTGGATCATGCAAGCTTCTCATAACTTTTAACTCCACCTTTTACTTGTTTTAGTGCTTTACTTGTTCATTTTTTGTTTATAGGCTCCTGACAGCCACCTGACTGGAATACAGTACTCATAACTGCCGTCGTCTGTATAAAAAGGTCTTTCCAACACAACTCGGTCACCCACAGAAGGAAATACATCCGTCTTCAGCCCAGAAACAAAGATAGGTGCAGGTAAGTGGCTGCAAAGCAGATAAGACATACAGGCATATACATTCTGTTACATATTAACACTAATGCAAAAGGGCAAAGGGAGTCAGAGGGAGCTATAAAGAGATTTAAGAAAAGTAGGTTACGGAACCAAGGTTCTGCAGAGTCGGTAACATCAAACCTCACGTCAAGGAAGCGCCTGTGAAAGCAGAGAAAAGCTGAAGTGAAAGCTATCATCTACAACCTGTGTGGTTTCCTGCATGTCAGAATATTTTGTTTCTTTCTTATCTGTTTGTGTTTAGCCAAGATGAAGTTACTGCTTGTCGTTGCTGCTGCTCTGGCTGTGGCCAGCTGTGCCAGCATCTCTCTTGAGGACCTCGAATTTCATGCCTGGAAGCTGAAGTTTGGTGAGATTCTGGATCCTTTAACAAGATACTTAAATGTTCATTTATGGTTAGAAGCTAAAGGGAAAAAGACATCTGTTCTCTTTCTTTGATGCAGGAAGGTCTTACAGCTCTCCATCAGAGGAGGCACAGCGTAAGGAAATCTGGCTCAGCAACCGCAAACTGGTTCTGGTTCACAACATCATGGCAGATCAGGGCATCAAGTCATATCGTCTTGGCATGACCTACTTCGCTGACATGGTATTTGCAGAAATGTCCTCTACCTTTTAAATGTTCATTTCATCACTTTCCTTGATTGTATTCAAGCTGCATGCATACATTTGGGATAGGGTGGGGGGGTGTCTGCTCCTGGTGGATACTGTGTAATAGGAACATGGAGCCATACATTCACAATCCTATATATAGACACCCACACACAGCCCAACACAGCGATGCACCTGGACAAGGCAGTTAAATGAAAATTTTATGGAAAGTATGTATATATACGCTACTGGCATTATTTGTTTTTAAACTATATTGTACACCAAAATTGTGGTTGCATCATGAAGCAAATACATTGCCTATTCTGTTGGATAAGACTTTTAAAATCTGTTCTTCTCCAGGAAAATGAGGAATACAAGCGCCTGATTTCCCAGGGTTGCCTGCGCTCATTCAATGCCTCCATGCCTCGCCATGGCTCTGCTTTCCTCCGACTGCCTGAGGGCAATGATCTTCCCAACACCGTTGATTGGAGGGACAAAGGATATGTTACCGATATCAAGGATCAGAAAGCCTGCGGCTCCTGCTGGGCCTTCAGTGCTGTACGCTCTTGAATAACTTCATCCACAAACTTTATAAAACTCATTTTTTTTTTTTTTTTAACAAAAAGATCTCTCTGTTCTAGACCGGCTCTCTGGAGGGTCAGACCTTCAGGAAGACTGGGAAGCTGGTGTCTCTGAGTGAGCAGCAGTTGGTTGACTGCTCTGGTGACTATGGCAACTATGGATGTATGGGTGGCTTGATGGATAATGCCTTCAAGTACATCCAGGCAAATGGTGGAATAGACACAGAGGATTCCTACCCCTATGAGGCAGAGGTAAAACAATTAGAATTAAGTAGAGAACAAAAATTTCACTTGTGGCTAAAATTATGTTAATTATAACTGATGTGTGAGAATAAATTCCTTTATTCAGGGTTATACGCTTTAATGAGTAAACAATGCTGCCATCTTCTGGAAGTATCATAGAATTGCAATCAGAATAGAGTAGCTGTATTGTCCCACATGGGGAAAACATGAGTTACAGTTGCAAAGACACGTAAAGAGAAAACACCATAATCGAATAAAGAACTGGATAATAAAGCAAAAGCAAAGTAAAACAATCCGATTAATGTTGCTGACAGAGTTTGACCTTTTCCCACTTCAAACTAATTTTATGTATGAAGTAGGAAATTATTTTCTTTTTATCATTTACATCTAAAGAGTTAAGTTTTGGAATATCAGGATTATTTGTTTGAATTGTGAGAATTGAAGTTAATATTGAGATACTTAAAAAATAACTGACAGAATATACCAGAACATTTCCTCCAAAATAGGTTGGCAATAGATGGGCAAAGACAAAAGATTGATAGATAAATTCAAAGTATTTGACTCCTTTTTTAAATTTTTTTTACAGAAAGATGTATGATCTCATGAAAGAAAACTGAAGTAATAAACTGAGCCGTGTTTTCCCTCCTTCAGGATGGACAGTGCCGTTATAACCCTGACAACGTTGGAGCCACCTGCACAGGCTATGTGGATGTAAAGCAAGGCGATGAAGATGCCCTAAAGGAGGCTGTGGCCACCATCGGACCAATTTCTGTTGGCATTGATGCCTCTCATTCATCATTCCAACTTTATGAATCAGGTTAACATTAGTAGTAGTATTATTTGAAATAACTGTCCAATTTAACATGTTGATCTAACCTGAGCATCTGTGTTTCTAGGATTGTATGATGAGGAGAGGTGCAGCAGCACTGAGCTGGATCATGGAGTGCTGGCTGTTGGTTATGGCACTGATAATGGCCGTGACTATTGGCTGGTTAAAAACAGGTAAAGGTGTAACTCACATATGCAGTTTTTCTATAAAGCTACTTTATTTTCACATGCAAAAAAGATAATTTTTTGTATGTTTTTGTAGCTGGGGTGTTGGATGGGGAGACAAGGGATACATCATGATGACAAGGAACAAACACAACCAGTGCGGGATCGCCACTGCAGCCAGCTATCCACTAGTCTGAGCAGGTTGGTCTTGCTTTTTTGTTCTTTTTTCATATAGCTGTTTCAGGATGCTATTTAGACTCTCTGGGTTCATCTTTACTCTGTAGTTTACTGCCTATATTTATTTTCTCTTTCTGTTTATTGTATTTTGCAGGTCCGGGACTTTACTCTCCGTGGGGAAATGGTGCCATGTAATTTTCTGTAATTCCTTTTTAAGAGCAACTTAGACACGTACTCTAAACCAAATGTGTTTCTCTCTTCTCTGCAATTTTCAGGGAAAGACAGTAGTTCTTTGCTCCGGTTTATTGTTTATGAGCATTGTAAATAAATACAAAGAAATAAAATGTGTAATTGGATATAAACATTGCCGTTATGGGCTTTGCTTTGTCATTGTTATGGTGTTTATAAACAACTCTGTGTTATTGTGTTGACTGGAAAAAAAATCAACAAAACTAAATGGCAGGTTTACAAGAAAAGAATTACCAGCAAGTATTGGAAATCTATCAGACATTTAAGACATGTAAACCGGCAGCACAAAGGAATGGGTTCATCTAAAGCTGGGGATGTTTTTATTAGAGAAATAAAAAATTATAAAGTCATATTAGTTGGTAAATACCCCCTTACACATACTTGAGATTGTTTTTGTTAAATTAAATCCTTCTACTGGGAACAAATCCCGTGACTACCAATACATCCATTTTTAATGCTGTTTTTAGTTTTTTTTTCGTGCTCCAGCAGGAGACATTTTTAAAATATTTTTCAGTGAAACAAGGCTGGGTAAAACTGGATGCAACAAAAGGATAATCTAAAAAAAAATAAAAAATCTAAAATATTTTTGAAATAGAAATGGCAAACTATTGTTAATCTTTGAGAAAAGCCCCCAATAAATCCTTCAAATGTTTACGACCTATGCTTAAAACACTGTTCTGGATCAGTAAATCAACCAATTCAGATTAATGGAACCTCTCATGACAAGAATTGTGATATGGTCAGCTGTTTCTTTCTAGAGAGAACCATGTGTGGAGCTAATTTATCATTACTTTCTTTAAAGGGTCAATGTGTAAATAATTTGTCTTTTTATCAGAAAAAAATCAATTCAGAAAAAAGCATTGCTCTCATAAGTACTTATCCTACCAAGGTATGACAATCAGATAAAATATTAAAAATAATAAAAAAATATTCAAAATCCCCGTAGCTTAGAATATGCTGTTTATAAATACATAAGATGTGGTGCACCCAATGGAAGAGACCAGGTTGCTTCATGGTCTTTGATTACGATAGCCGAATGGGGAAAAACTTTATTTCTTTTTATGCTGTATATGAAAATGTGTTGTTATTGAAGGTGGATTATAAAACACACAAATATGACTGTAGATCTTTCAACTCAGTTTTCTGTTAAAAAAATATGACCATCCATACTCTTTGATCAGTAAGAGAGAAGTAACCAATAAAATAAAAAGAAGTAATGACAGGAAGAAATAGAGAGTCTCCATCAGCTTACCAGTTGGAGACAGTTCATTAAAGGGCCGGGGCTTTAAAGTGGACACCATAGGCGTTTTTAAATAATTTTTGGGGATGCTGAAGCACCCTTAAATTGAATCATAGCACACCTAAAATATGTTATATATATATATATATATATATATATATATATATATATATATATATATATATATATATATATATATATATATATATATATTGTATGCACTTTTAAAATTGAAAAAGGTAAAACAAAAACATACTAAATATATAACAACTAAAATTTTGATTGAATCCCCTTAATCAGGTGTTTTCTTAAATGTTCAGTCAGATTTCTACTCCTGTTGATGGTGTGTTGGTAAAAAGATCATGAACAATATGCACCTTCCCCCCTTTAATTTCCTTTTAATTTCCTCGCAACGCTGCCAGTTCTGTTAACTCTACGCCTGCCAAACACATAGACGTCCATCCCTGTGAACACCGGGACGGAACTCAATGAGAAAGGAAACAATTCTTATTTCTTATTTCAACTGTTGCGTATATTAGTTGCGACATAGGAATTAAGATGCTATTTGATTGACAGATGACCGTTGATATATGATTGGCAGAATTTAGGTGCACAAGCTGACGTATAACTTACTGGCCTGCATAAAGTAACGGTAAAGGCCACAGATTTTAAGACAGGATTTTTAAAAAAATATAAATTTTCCAACTTTTGGGACAAAATGGTCTGATAAAGAGTACATTTATATACATGTTTAATCCAGAATGATTTTAATTTTAAACATGACTACCCTACGACTTAAATAGCAATGTGCTCTAATGTGTCTAGGACTGTAGGTTAAATTAGCAGGTTACGGAACCATGGTTCTGCAGAGTCGGTAACATCAAACCTCACGCCAAGGAAGAGTCTGTGAACGCATAGAAAAGCTGAATTGAAAGCTATCATCTACAACAATTCAAAATCAATGTTTCAATCTATCAAATCATAATTTTGATAGATTGATAGGTTTTTATTTGTATGTATTTTTTCCGTTTCTTGTTATCAGAATTACTGTTGGTCAGTGAATGATAGAGTCAGTTATTGGCAAAAGGCACTGAACAGGTTTCAAAAAATCAGCTACAGATCTTGTAGGCTTTCTGCTGGTCAGGTGAATTAAATTAACAAAATACTTTATTTTACTTTAGCTTTACGTTAGAAACAAGGCAGTGTAGTCCAGCCACTACTCCATCCTCCTGGCTTTGAGCACATACTGTTGAAGTACCAAGGTCTGACCAATTAAAATAAGCCCAGATCATAACACTGGCCCAACAGGCTAGTACAGCGACACTAGGGTGCATCACTTTGCTTTCCTTTCTTCATACCCTGATGAATCCATCTCTCTGGAACAGGGTAAGTCTGGCCTCAGACCTTTTGACCTTCTTCCATTACTCCGAGTCCAATCTTTATGCTTTCTAGGAAAATGTAGCCTTTTTTTCTCTCAGCTTCACAGATCAGCAGTTTTCTTAAAGTTACTCAGCTGTCAGTCCCACTCCATTGAGTCCCCTATACATTGTCAATGTGGAAATGCTCCTACTTTTGCTATTGAATATAACCCTCTACTGTTATTTTTCTTTGAGTTGATTTCACCAAATGTGTCATTATTCTGCCCTTTTCTGGACTTTTTGGTTCTGTTTAAGTCTTGTTTTGGGGTTTTCAGTTAAACTTTGATTTATGTCGTTCTGTCCTTTTTGTATTTAAGCACATTTCTGTGCTCAATCAGTTGATTACTCCATTCATTGTTCTTTTTGGCAAAATATACACCTCCTCTGCAGTTACTGTTTGCTGAATTCTCTTCATTCCTTCCTTTCTTCTGTCATTCCTTCGGTGTATTCCTCCCTAATATCTTCTAGTTTTTGGTTCCTGAGGTTTTTTTGTCAATTGTTTCTTGATTATGGCTTCTGTATTTTTACCTCTTCATTAAATTTTGCAAGAAATCATCTCTGCCTCTTCAGCTCTGTATTTGGGTCCTTAACAAGTATCCACTAATCCTGACAAAATGTTTGAATGTTTGCCAGTCGTGATCATTCAGGATATTTCCCTGGCCAAATTATTTTCTTTGAAGATGACGGATCTGGTCTATTCTTCAAGTTTTTAATTATGTGTTTGAAAGTTCTTTTTAACCCAATTTTAATAGTTTCTGCAATCTCCTTAGATGCTTTCTTTGTTTGATGCATGCCAGTGACTCAACGCTCGAAAGAGATGGACATCTTTTCCACGAACATGGGATTTGTTGTTGACATGGTCATTTAAAAAATGAGAAGCGACTCATTGCACCAAATGGGGTTAAATAATTTCTTACACAATAGTCAAAGCAGTAATTATCCAATGGGAGGCTTGTATCACTTTGTATTGTTAAATCCAGATGATTACTTTTATTGGTAAGTGGCAAGATACATGCAGGCCTGGTAGGAGGAAAATCTGCAAATTTCAAACCTTCTTGATGAAGATATAGCAATGATTGTATGCATAAAGTTGTTATTATGCAGTAATCCTTAATACTTGTGCCATAAACCATGAGGATCATTTCGGACATTGAGAACCAATGTGTTTTATATTGAACATAACCATAGGGTCAGGATGGTTCAGGTTTGCCTGGTGTTTGTTTACTGAAGCTTCTTCATCCCCCACCCAGCCCAAGACATTATCACAATACGCACTCCTACGTATGCCTTTGCCCCCTATGGTGCCTTGAGACGAAGCAACTGCCTCGGGCATTTATCTACCTCTTTTTATTCTAGGCTCTGGGAGGTTTAGATCAGAGAGACACCTTCACGGCCCATGCCCAGGATCCAGATCTCCAAGCTGACGAAGGCTAAGTAGATCTAGTGGCTGCCATTCAGAACTGAAGTGCTGCAAAACAGATTGTTTGCAACATTTCTCTTTGAGTTTCAGAAATTTTCAGGTGGTTGAAGAAATGAGGAGAGCATGTTCACTGTTGGGTAAAGACACGCTGACAAGATTGACTACATGGTATGCTATGCCAACATATATGAGCGATTGTTTATAAAGCTTATTTCACTGAAGGCCTAATGTTAATATGTCTTCTCATATGCCTATTGCAATTTGATTGCCAAATTATGATTTGAGTCCTCATGTCTACTAGCTATAAGCTCAATCAAAGAAGGCTAAGTATCAATCAACTAAGGGTTATTGATTTATGATGAAGCAAATAATTTAATAAAACATTATTCTCCAAAATGTTTTATTTACCTCTTGGACTTGCATTGTGAAGTGCTTTGAAAACATTCCAATTGCTCCAAAATAGATAATATAAAAAGGCTAATTTGGTCAGATTCAAAATTCTTCAAAGTAAACTTTGTTTACCAATTGTTAAATATGGAAGTTATCTCCCCCTGAAAGTGGCAGCGCCTCGGAACTTCCCTACCGGTTCTTTACCTGGGAGCGAGTTATTTACTTCTCTTAACTCAAACTGGGTAAAACCATATAAAAAAGGACTATAAAACAGGACTAAAAATGTAACAGCGTTTATTCCAGGTCAGGTCGTTACAGGACGGAGAAATTGCTGTGAGTCGGCACAGCTGTGGGCTCAAAAACGTCAGCGAGCATCCGGAAAAAGATTGAGCAAAGACTGAGTCCCGAACAAAGTCATCTGCTCCTTCTTATACCTCATTAGTCCATGTTTTGCATCAGGTGGATACTTAGCTGTCCGTATCAGAAACTGACACGCCATCCATGCCTTGACCTTTATGCATCTTGCCTCTTTAGGATTACACATAGCTCACCTTTATCAGTCCAGCACCAAGATGTGCCCATTTTAAACAAAAAATCATAATCTCTTTACCAGTCCGTTCTTAAGACCTCTGCACCAGTGCTTTT